TTGACAAGTAGTATTTTTATTTGTGTTTTATTAACTCACGAATCATGCACCATCAAGTAATCAGTGTCCTGTGCGGTGTTGGGACTTCCGCGTAATTTAAGTGGCCACGAACATAAAGACTTAGACAAAAACACCATTCGTTCAAATTTTTATACAGGTTTTATATATAGATTGTGTGTTTTATTTTTGGTGTTGGTTTAACGAGTGTTTTTGTCGTTATTTGTGGTCTTTTTGTGGTGGACAGGTTTTAGGTAGGTTAGAGCACCTGATATCATATTTAAGAATAACACAACCCAATAGGCATGTTGCTAGCCACAAAACAACAACAAAATGGTAGTGTCTCAGAGACTTAGATGCGGAAGGGACAGATTTAATTCCCGGCACAACCACAAAAAAAACGTTGCACAAAAACTTTATTCTCACGTCGACCCCTTGTAAAATGCCACTGGCACTGGCGTAGATAAAAATCAGAACACTGAGAACCAATTCTTCAGGCGGTAGCAATGAAGGGACGCCGACGCAACGTTAGTTGGGTAGTGTACTTTGTGTAGGTCAACTGTTGCTTACTGGGCACGTATAATGCAGTCGTGTTTGGTGCAAGTTCTAAAACACTTCTTAGATAAAATAAGTTCCCTTTTTTTTAATATTGGTCTGATTTTGGACATTTTCTGTTTAGCATGCAATGTAATGTTGTAATGTTGCGGTATTCATTTGATATTAAAACCACAAGTCTCAATAATGCAAAAACATCACATTATACAAGTTTATTTTTAGACATTTCTTTGACCTTTAAATAAACTGGGAAGCTTGAACACATTAAACTAGGTCCTCAAAATAGGTTAAAAACCACTCATTTTAGCACGTTATTTCCAAATTTTTGCTGGGGGTATTCCATACCCCCCAGGCCCCCCGGTGACCCCCCCCCCCCAAAATATATGTCTAGGACCGCCCTTGGCAGGACGCGGAGAGTAAGAGAACTAATATTCCATGTAATCTTTTGTAATGCACATTGGGAATATTGTTGTGACAATGTGATTGGCTGAGCTGGAACAGGTTATGTGCGCGCATGCGCCAAGTGGTATGATTCAAAACATGAACATGGACATGAACTGAACAGTGACGTCCTTGACTGGACAGCATGTCAGAAAGAGATTCAAAATGGCGGAAATGAGCAATGGATATATTTCCATAAAACTGGAAAATGATATGGCTTGAAATGACCAAATGTTATGTATGAGTGTATTATTTATTTGAAATTGAATATTAAAAGTGAATGTTCATAGGTAAATTACGAAGGACCACTGCAAATTACGTTGCGGAAATCATAAGAAACTTGAAAACATTAAGTCCTACCTTTAAAAACTCCAGTGCAGACGTAGGGGGAAGTGGGAAAGATGGCGTATTTGAACTTCAGATTAGTGTCAACGCTGTGACGAACCCTTGGTAGTTGGATGTTGGATGAGACGATTTTCGCTCTTCTTTCTGCTTGAAGGCTTGATGTTTGCACGTAACGCTAAGTCTTTATTGTTCGTGGCCACTTAAATTACGCGGAAGTCCCAACACCGCACAGGACACTGATTACTTGATGGTGCATGATTCGTGAGTTAATAAAACACAAATAAAAATACTACTTGTCAATAAAACAACAAAATAACTTCAGAATAAGATTGGGCAATATCAATTGCAATAAAAATGAAAACGGAAACAACTTGACGAAATAATGTTAATGGCAATGAGGTTAAAAAAGGTGGCCGGTACTAAACCATATTCATAGGGCCGTGGTGGACAGAGAGAGAATGACCAGGATACCTGTCTGTGGTGAACGACAAGCGATAAGGAGGACAATAGACATGAATAGAGCGATAAGGTTGTTGTTGAAGATAACATGGACTTGGGTTCTGTGGCTTTGGCATTTGGCATTACCTTGTTTTTAAAATAAAATAAATACAGTATTCTTCTTTACAGTAAATATAAAGTTAATAGTTCTTTTTTCCTTCTAAATACTAAACAGTGACTGTACCTTAGGAAGAAGTATATTTTATCTATGACTCTATACCTATTCGATCAGTGGTCGTTTCCAAACTGCGACTTAAATGTAAACCTAAGCCTAAGACTTTATATTATATGATCAGTGGTCATCATCAAAATTTTAGCGAATTTCCCTATAGGGAAGTAGCTATTACCGTAGGTCTCATGGTAACACTTAGGCCCGGGACCAATTTACTTTTTCATTTTCATGTCCCCAGAGGCCAAAAACACCATTCGTTCAAATTTTTATATAGGTATATGTATATATATAGGCCTCTTACTAATATTATAAATGTAAAAGTTTGTGTGTTTGTTTGTTTGTTTGTTTGTTTGTTTGTTTGTGTGTTTGAAGTTCAATCACGCATAAACCACTGGACGGATTGGGCTGAAATTCGGCATGATGATAGCTTACATTCCCGATTAACATATAGGCATATTCTTATCTCAAAAATCCTTTCGGGCTCCGCCCCAGTGGCTCTGTAATTCCCCATGTTAACCTTATGAGTATTCATATTTAAAGGGAATTAAAGAATTTAGTCCGCTGTTTCAACTAAAAAAGTTGGTTCTATGATATGGAAAAGCATTAAAAAGTTATAAGATTTACCAACAGGGTGCAGCACTATATTTTTTTGCATTTATGAAAACAGCTAATTTGAACTAAGCAGCAACAAAAAACTGTGATTCGCAATGAGAACTGTCAAAGTAGGATTGTTTACAGTTATTTTTATGTTTTTCATTTCATGAATAATTTGTGATATTTTGCGAATTGTTGATAATTTATTTTTCTCTATTGTTTAGGTGAAGTGGTAGAACATTATGGCTATGGTAGATGTGTAATACTATAGAATACTGTAAATTTAAAAAAGCAAATTTTATCAAACTGTGTCCTCCCTTATTGCAAACGCAAAGCTTGAGTATAACTGCAATAAGCATTTTATACTAATATTCCAACCCCGTACGAAGGACGGGTACTCTGCTAGTATATATATGTGTCCGTGAACACGATAACTTGAGTAATTTTTATCAAAATCCGATTTTGATGAAATTTGGTTTAAAGGTGTAAGGCGGGATAAACTTGAATGAGTTCGCGATCCAGCATGATCGGACCATGGGAACAGGGTTTTATGGGGGGGGTTTTATGGGGTAAAAATTGGTTTTTCTCACTTTTGACCCTCAAAACACAAAATTTCCCAATTTTCCTCTAAACCTTCTTAAAGAGCTTAAAAAAACAAACAATTCAGTATATCAAAGTGTTTTCGTACGGTTATTGGTTACGGAGAAAACTAAAAAAATGGTCAATTTAAAATTCCCATGTTATTCTTATGGAGAATATTGTAAAATGTTGTAGTTTGCTTGTTTATGGATATCTTTTGATCAAACTTGGCAAATATATTCATTTTATACTAAGCAATAATTATTTTACTTAAAACACACACTTTATTAGTTTCCTTGTAGCAGCAAACCTAGGTACTCGTTAAACCTAATGTTATTTAAATAGATCAATTGAAAATCATTTCAGCCAAATGGAAATTCGCTAAGACGGCAGGTTTGCTGCGGCGGGGGTATTTTCCTTTGTACTGTGTTTGGGTCGTGTCTTGATTTTAACATTATGCTATGATTCTTTGCTTTGTTTACATTTACATCGTTATTTTGTAACCATCATGGCAACCCATAAGTCCAATGTTAAGATTTGTAAACTTTGAGTTACTTTAAAATTATATAGACATTATCAAAAATTGAATTTGGTTACGTCAAAACAATAAAAACATTTGATAAAACAACCTTGGTAAGTTTGGCTAAAATATGTTCAGCCGTTATTGAGATTAAGTGTTATAAAGATTGCATTGAAGTTGATCCCTAAGAGCTTCGCTTCGCTCCGCTCAATAAAAAAGGAAAAGAAACGTCATCCTAAATTTAGCCAAAAAAAAAAAAAATGGAAACAAATCTTCCATGATTGAAAATTTAAATATATAAATTTGAAACTATGGTGTTTTTGGCCTCTGGGGACATTAAAACAAGAAAGTAAATCGATCCCACGTCCAGGTCTTACCATGACACCTAAAATGTAATGGCTTATTCCTTATATAAGATATTCGCTAAAAACTTAAGAGTCTTCCTTAGTGGAAGCCATGTTGGATTTCTTCCCCATAAGAACAATGTTAAACATTACATCATTTGTGGACACGTAACGGCGTTATTTGTTAAGATATAGCTTTGAAATTTATAATTTGTTTTTTTAACATAATAGACTCGTGACTGAGGTTTTTGAATTTCGAAAATCCATTTTCATTTCCTTTCAATAATTAGCTTAATTTTAAGCTAATTAATAATCAATTATTCATTATAAAAATTAAAAATTGTGAAATAAAAAACGTCAATCTCTAGAGGACCGCAATTCCTTAAATTTAACTCCTTATCCATAATTATATGACAATTTGCTGATGAGATATTTGGACCCAAAGTTAACATTGTTCTTATGGGGAAGAAATCCATGTTCCACTAAGGAAGACTCTTAATCACACAAATATTATAACAAGCAGAAGCAATGCAACGGCAACAAGCGATTGCTTTGTTATGATGACACCAGCTCATTAATGTTATATATTTTCTTTCATTACAATATTGTGTAAATCGCCTGACATCGGTGGCATACCAGCTGTAGGATTTAAAAAAGTTAACGAATGTTTTTGGATTAATGAGTTAGGACATTGAAAGCAAAAGTAATTCAAGTTTTAGGATTAAATATTTAATTTAATAAATAAAAATATAACAATTGGTTACTTGGTGATGTTGACTTTTATTCGGTGGTACGCATTGCTAAGCACTCCTCTCAGGTTCCATATGTTTTTGAATGACTCAGGCTGTGTGTTGTAGCTGTTGTCTACAGCCTTCACCCAAACCTCCACCTGGGAACACCAAACATTTGTAGTAGTTTCTATATGTTGTTGAATGACTCAGGCTGTGTATTGTAGATGTTGTCTACAGCCTTCACCCAAACCTCCACCTGAGAACACCAAACATTTGTAGCAGTTTCTACATGTTGTTGAATGACTCAGGCTGTGTATTGTAGATGTTGTCTACAGCCTTCACCCAAACCTCCACCTGGGAACACCAAACATTTGTAGTAGTTTCTATATGTTGTTGAATGACTCAGGCTGTGTATTGTAGATGTTGTCTACAGCCTTCACCCAAACCTCCACCTGGGAACACCAAACATTTGTAGTAGTTTCTATATGTTGTTGAATGACTCAGGCTGTGTATTGTAGATGTTGTCTACAGCCTTCACCCAAACCTCCACCTGAGAACACCAAACATTTGTAGCAGTTTCTACATGTTGTTGAATGACTCAGGCTGTGTGTTGTAGCTGTTGTCTACAGCCTTCACACAAACCTCCACCTGGGAACACCAAACATTTGTAGTAGTTTCTATATGTTGTTAAATGACTCAGGCTGTGTGTTGTAGCTGTTGTCTACAGCCATCACCCAAACCTCCACCTGGGAACACCAAACATTTTTAGTAGTTTCTACATGTTGATGAATGACTCAGGCTGTGTGTTGTAGCTGTTGTCTACAGCCTTCACCCAAACCTCCACCTGGGAATACCAACATTTGTAGTAGTTTCTATATGTTGTTGATTGACTCAGGCTGTGTATTGTAGATGTTGTCTACAGCCTTCACCCAAACCTCCACCTGGGAACACAAAACATTTGTAGTAGTTTCTACATGTTGATGAATGACTCAGGCTGTGTGTTGTAGCTGTTGTCTACAGCTTTCACCAAAACCTCCAACTGGGAACACCAAACATTTGTAGTAGTTTCTACATGTTGATGAATGACTCAGGCTGTGTGTTGTAGCTGTTGTCTACAGCCTTCACCAAAACCTCCAACTGGGATCACCAAACATTTGTAGTAGTTTCTACATGTTGATGAATGACTCAGGCTGTGTGTTGTAGCTGTTATCTACAGCCTTCACCCAAACCTCCACCTGGGAATACCAACATTTGTAGTAGTTTCTATATGTTGACGAATGACTCAGGCTGTGTGTTGTAGCTGTTGTCTACAGCCTTTACCCAAACCTCCACCTGGGAATACCAAACATTTGTAGTAGTTTCTATATGTTGTTTAATGACTCAGGCTGTGTGTTGTAGCTGTTATCTACAGCCTTCACCCAAACCTCACCCTGGGAACTCTAAACACATGAGCTATATGTGCTTTAATTAGCTGAATATCGAACATATGACTTTTGTAACTTTGAAAAGTTACAAGTTACATCAAGACAAGTATTAGTTTGTTCTAAAGTGTTCTATTTTATTTATCTAGTTATTTTACTGTTCATCTTTTAAAAGTATTTAAAAGTAAGTAATATTGATAAATGATCGGTTTTTAGCAAGTTTTTTCTGGATAACCATTTCAGGAAGACAGTAAATAAACTTAGTATTATCTGAAATAGCTCTACTTACTAATTGAATGCAAATTTTCACATGTTTTCAGTCATATAGTTTTAAACCACTTTTATTCCTAAATTAAGAGCACTCCCAAGAAGCAAAGCTTTTTATATCACTGCAAATAATATCCAGAATAATAGTTACAACACTTTGATTATTAAATTAAAAACCAACAAAGATCACAAAAACTAATATATTTGGCACTATTTTAAATTGAGTCGTAACTTCCTGTGTATCAATCCGCTTGGAACATGGTCTAAACAGGTTAGGCACTTGACAGGTCAGGTACTAGACAGTTTAGGCACTGGTGCCTAAACAATTCAGACTAACGTCAGTTGCTGAACCCTGCCCTCACTGACCACAGACAACCTGCTTCTTATCAATCAAGGACTGCTCACATAAGACCTAATCAGCTGTCTGTTTATTTTGAATCATTTACAATGTGAATCATACAATGATTTCAGTATTAATTCTGTTGCTACAAAATAACAAAATTGTAATAAAACCTGGCATATTCTTTGATATTTGTGGTTTATTTATTAAATGATGGATAAAATTGGAGTAAACAACTGTGGATTTTGTTTTAAATATGCTAGGAAGGCAGCTATACTTTGCACAGGACATTGTTATAAATGGATACATTTTAAATGTATTACTATAATGTATTCAGAGGTAAAAGTTATGTCCAGCTATGAGATAAAGGTCTGGAAATGTCCAGCTTGCAGGGAAGATAATGTTTCGGAAACTATTGACGAGAATAAACTAGATGAAAGTAATGTTTCTCTCTCACTAGCTACAGAAATTTATGGCTTACAGTGTTTTATGGCTAGTCACAAAAATTCCCTAGCTACATTAAATGGAAAAATTCAAAAGATTGATATTGATGGAGAGATGGACCTAAACGCTTCACTTACAATTGCTGCTGAAGCAGGCTCACTACTGCTTGAGGAAAATGACAAATTAAAACAGCAAATTCATGAGTTGAAAAATGACAGACACCAGGCTGAACAGCAGGCTGAAGAAAAAATTAAGGAACTACGGGATAGAGTAAATATCCTAACAGAAGAAATGAATAAACAAGAAAGTGTTCACATACATAAAACTCAATCTGTATATGAAAAAATGAAAACTAAAATTGAAAATAAGAATAATAAAATTTCTCAGCTAGAAGATGAAAAGTTGATGTATAGGACTCAACTTAAGGATCACGTGAAAGAGAAAGAGGAATTGAAATCATGCAAAAAGGAGATAGGTAAACTTAGTAATGAACAATCTAAGTTCCAGTTAACCATAAAGGATAATGAAGATTAAAAAACAAAGATAAATTCGCTGATGAATAAAAAACCCTCTTTGAGAAGAAAATTTTGGAATTAGAGTCGAAAAAAGAAGCTGGTGACACTGCACATGCTACAAAAGTTTCAAAACTCTTAAAATCGGATGAAGCATCATGGGTCAAAGCCCGTTGGGTAGATGATACTATTCTCCAATCATACTTTCATGCATTCAGCAGTGATCCCGCTCTCAACAACTCCGTCCTGTTTCTTGGCCCTTTTACAACTCAAATACTTTAACATTGCAGCCAGGAATAGGCCCAATCTGAAATGGATAATTTAATGTTTAAGAAACATAATTATGTTTTGTGCTGCCTGAACGACAGCCTTAATCCTGACAATGATGACTCCGGCTCTCACTGGAGCCTTTAGATTTTTGACAACATTAGAAAATTGGTATACCATTTTGACTCTAACTCAAACTTTAATAAGTCCAGTGCCCTATCACTGATGAAAAAACTCAACTTTGATGACAGTACCGGTACCCTAGTGAATATCCCCTGCACTCAACAGAAAAATAGTTTTGAGTGTGGCATAAACGTCTTGGTTAACACAAAGCTGGTAGCTGAATGTTTCTGCAGAAGCCCATTAAACATTACAATGCCTATTCATGAGTGGTTCAATTCATTTTTGTTGGATCCTCCTGTGATAATGCGGCCTCTGGTGTTAACAAAAGCATGAGTGAGATCTCTCACCCTGTTAAAAAAGGGACAATCAATGAACATATAGAGGAGACATGTGACAGGACCACTAAAACTAAACATGATTACATATGAGAAACTGTAAGAAGATTAGGAAGAAAAAAACAAGGAAAGACTTTGAACCATCAATAAATCACACTGATACTAGAAACAAATTTTATGTCCTGGATGAACTCCATGAAGATGTTGCGGAAAAATATCCTCACAGTAAAGCATCAAGAGGACTGATTAAACTTAAAGCTCCACAAGCCCAACAAAATGGTACCTTAAGGGCAAATAAACTCGACAAGAAAGCATCCAGAACTAATAAGTTTGTGGTTACAGAGGCAAAAACACCAATCTCTAATGAAAATAAGGACAAACCATCAATAAAATCTCATGACCGATATTTAAATGATACAATAAGTCAAACCAGAAACGTGCAGCCCCCTACTAAGATGGAAAATAAACCCTGGTTTCATATAGCAGGGGACAGCCATGCAAGAGATTTAGCTCAATTCCTCACTCCACTATAATGCCCCAGTACTCCGTCTCATCCGGCTACTATCCAGGTGCTTCACTGCTATACGTAGTCGAACAGTTGGAGAAGTGCAATGACAGATATAAGGAGAATGATTGTATCATACTTATTGGTGGGTCCAACAAAACAGATGCAGACCACTTTCGAATTGTACTGTCCAAAATAGAAAATCCAATAAAAAATACTAAGGCTAAAATTATATTGACTGAAATACCCTATATTTATCAACAGCCAGAGAATGGTGAACAGTTTTTTGAGATTGAAAACTGTAATTCTTGCCTATTATCCCTATCAATAAAACAAAATGTTAAGTACTTGATGTTCAGCTATTTATTAAATTATAAAAAGCATTATACTAGAAATGGAATGCACTTAAATAAAGCAGGAAAGATAGTAATATCCAAAAGCATCGCAAACTGGCTCTCTAAACCCTTATTTAATGGATCTGACCAAAAAGTCAAAATAGCTCCGCATACTGATGAATTAAATCCTTCTCCTACTCAACAAGGTTCAATTTCTCACATCAGAAATGTTTAAATTAATAATTCCCAAATGTCAGGGATGATTAAACAATTTTCTGATCAACCAGACACAGCCTTTGCACACTGTATTTCCGCAGATATAGGGGACAGAAACAATATGTCTGCAGGTGTAGCTGTAGTGTTTAGGCAAACCAACAAAGGGTAACTTTATAAACCAACACCTAGCAAGGCAAACAGTAAAGAATGGTCCTACTATTTACAGTTTAGTAACCAAACAAAAATATTTGGAAAAACCTTCTATTGCGGATAATGAAAAGGCGTTCGAGGGGATAGCAGCAGACATTAAGAAGAATAGCCTCAAACAACTAATCTGTTCACCACTCGGATGTATGAGGGACAGAATACTACCTGAAATTTTTATGAAGAATTTGTTGAACCTCCAAGAGCATACTGGGGTAAATATTACAGTTGCTGTAATTTACAACACAAAGCACATGGCTGGAAGAGAAAATAATCCTAGTACTGGAAGCAAGTCACCCAATATGGCTACAATCCTACAAGATATACTGATGATATACTGAGGAACCTAACACAAATGACACGTCCTACATCGTCCGACCCAAGGCGCTGCAGCAGCTATCCTGATGACAACAACCATGAGCCATCTGATGTGCACCAGTCCAGCCGTAGTAGCAGTAGCAGCAGTGTCTCTGTGTCCAGTGAAGTGAATGAGCATTCTGAGAAAGTATGTGATAAAGTGAAATCCCCCCCCCCCCCCATTATCACTCCTGGCCCCTTCTCCTTCTCAGAGATGGTAAAGGTAGTAGATACTAATTGTCAACCCACATCTTATAGTGAAACCTCAAAAACAAATGATATTAAAGAATGTAATTTTTTAGAGACAAGGCAGGCAGTGTTCACAGTGAAATAACAGCTATACATAAAAATACCCCCCGCCGCAGCAAACCTGCCAGGGCCGGATTTAGCATTTCGGCGCCCCTAGGCCCAAATAATTTTCCGCCCCCTAGTCTGGTCAAAGTTATCATGTCCATAGGCCTAAGTTAATTGCTTGAATACCACTCCTTTTAGGAATTTTATCATTGCAAGTTTTTTGA